TACCATATTTCACACATACAACAAGCATAGCTAGGAGTCTTAAAATCCGCAATCAAATGTGAGAAAAAAGTTTCGTTTCCATGGATACGCCACCATATTGGATTTTATTGACATGTCTTACGTAATGAATACCGCACTTATCGCACATGGAAATTGATTGGTTTTTTGCATGCGTGTTTACAAACATTAGATCTAAAAATTTGTCTGTTGTTTTTTTCCTAATCGAATTAGAACATTTTTAATGAATTTTTTCCTGAGGTAGCATTCAAGTTTGCGAAAGATCCGTGAAAATCCACACTCCAGACACCACCAACAAAAATTTATTCCATATATCACAAGTTCAACAGACGCATTTTTAGTATTACCTCTTCTCTTCATTCTGTTAACATTTCATGAAGATTGGATGAAAAATGGTGGAGTTATTCAAAAAAGTATAGAGAAAAGTCGCATTTTGAGAAAACGACCGATTAAAAAAAAAAAAAACTGACTTTATGAGGAGATGGCGGTTACAAGCATGCCCGGTATGGGAAAAAATACGGTTTTGGGGGGTTCTTATGCCATGAAATAGTTGTGGGAGAGGCTGAGGAAGCTAAAAATGCCTACAACTTAAATTCCATGATTTTGAGCCGAATTTGATTTTGGGGGTGTAGTCCCCCCCCTTCCACCCCCCTTTAAGAATTTAGATTTCGACCAAATATTTCTTGGGCGTAGGCAACGGATACCAAAGATTAAGAACCTGTAGTTTCTCTTTTTTATCGAAATTTTGGGCTTTATATATTTTAACAGCTTGCCTGCGAAATATCAATGGTTTGTTTTGTTAAGAGTTTCACGGCACTTGCAACAGAATAAGGTCATATAAGTGCCGAAGATTAGAGGTGTTACACGAGAGTAACAAACACAGAAAAAGAAGGAGGAGAGATCAGGACGTTAGATGTTTGATAAGGAAAAAGGAGCAAACCACACCAGAGCACCCGACAACAAACCACATATATCAACGGGGAAAAAATCACATAAAGGTTCACTCACCAGATCTTTAATCCCTCCCAGACAACGTGCTGCTCTCATACAGTCGTATCATCAACACAAGGTTGGAGCCAGAGGCCCATGGTCCGTATCCCCGCCCCTTCACTCACACACACACGGACGATGTGACCACGCAAGCACACACGTCCAAACCGGGTCGACTGGATACACACACACTGGACTTCAGGAATCTCGTAGTACCACCAGTCTGCAAACAATGAGAGACAGGAACACAATAAGAGGATTGCGATCAGATCAATTGAGGCAGCTCTTTATACTCCCCAACAGGGTTTTACACACAATCCAAACAGTCGGTACGATCTTCTTCTTGTCTTCTTATGCTGCTTTTGATTAGCCAACATAATAGGCTTTTTTCTGAATGCACGACTTGTATATTTTGGAAAAGTTTAGAGTGGAAACAACATTGCGGAACGACAACAATGACAAAGGGACAAGATTGTTCGTCAAACTCTTCTGAGAACACAGACATTTACGCTCTTGGTTCAAGTACTTGACATGACTTGGTTTGTTTATTGAACATTTGAAAGGATTCCCATTTGTTACCCTCTGATTTGTTGATGATAGATCGTTCACGGAAATGTGCCTCTAAGAGCAAGACCAGAAGAAAAGATCCCGATACAGACAAAAAATCGATTTTTTTTCTGTTGCGTGATGTTAGGCAGAAGAAATTATTATAATTCTGGCCTATGATACTTGTATTTAAAATATACTGCACTCAAAATACCTATTCTAACGACGAGTGTTATCTGACCTTGGGGTTAGAGATAGAGAGGAATAAACTAGATGGAGAGGATAGGTTGTTTTCCAAAGGGCTGAGAAATAGAAAAGTACACGGAGGGTACCAGGGGAGGCATTCACCCTATGGACACCTACGATAAAAGCAAGCAACCTGGCAGAGCAGAAAAATCAAGATTTCTGTTCATTGTCGATGGTCTTCAGGAGAGCAAATACCAGAAAGAAAGAAATGAAAATCACTCAGATATAGAAACTGTAATTGTGTATCTATACATATTATATTAGTGAAAGTCCGTCACTTTCGAAGCCTAAAACTACCGAACCACTTAACTTTCGAATTTGAAAACTTTAATGATGGTTCAGAATCGTTTAAAGGGTGAACAGTTTTATTGAGGAGTCTTAAGTCACTGTTGTTTAATTTTGAGTTTTTCATTAGTTTCGCTCAGATCTAATCTTGCGAAAGTCCGTCTTCTTAGACGTCATTGTAAACAAGTGAGGCTTCCGTTCACAAGCTGTGCACACTGGTTCCACAATGACTTGACGATCGACGATTATTTTAAGTACGTTCATCGAACGTGAACCCAGCTAGTTCTTAAATATCTTACGCCCCCATCGACACGATTTGGGTTTTTTAATATGCGAACTTTTTCGACCTTGGTTGTCCCAGCACACAGACTGAGATACTCGATTAACCCTATCTGTACGCCTTGTGGTCCTTTTGTACCCCCGAGGTTTCATTCTTCACATTTTAGAACACTTCTGGTACGAAGATCTCTTTCAAACTTTCAGTATTTCTCAAAACATCATTTTGACAGACTGTTATGCAAAGCCTACGGATCGGATTACCGACTAAATTCCCTCTTTGGAAAGTGGTGGCATAGAGTTCCCCACGTCGTATGGATACGATAGTAAAACACGACGCACGGATAGGGGTAAAAAAACCTCCCCACTCAACAACCGAGCTCAGTCTTCAGCATGCTATGACCAAGCAGCTAACCACTTTTCCATCGAAGCCGGGTTATTAATGAGGGTCGGCACCTGTATCGAGATTCGCGTCTCACCGATCAACGTTATCGCCGGTTTTGACATTGATGGTCATCGGTTCGGCCACTTGGACCTTCAACTAGTGGGGTGCGAGTAAGAGCAAAATCCTTTTAGAGTAATGATCGAGAAGTTGAAAAATCACGCGGTTAGCCGAGGAATTGATTGAACACTTTTCTTAGCCAGCAATACTGTTTTGATTCTGTACAAGTGTCTTCAAAGACCACAACAACAACCAGCTAATAATGGAGACAATCACACACTACAACAACCAGGCTGCTGATGATGGAGACAATTACACACTACAACAACCAGCTGAGGATGGAGACAATCACACACTACAATAACCAGCTGATGATGGAGACAATCACACACTACAACAACCAGCTGAGGATGGAGACAATCAGCCTGCCCACACTGAAATGGACCCTCATGAAGAGGGGCGAGGAAGCATGGAGCATGGACTTTGATGGCCTCTTAAGACATCTAAAACCACATGGATTACCATATCAAATCATAAGTACCTTTTCTTTCCAAGGAATATATTTATCGAGCAAGAGAAAGTAGTATGGAATTATTTCCCCACTAGGAGAGGTAAGTTTTCAGTGCGCCAATCCGTAAAGATTTTCAATAAAAAGAAATGTGACGCACAATAATAATGATTAAAGTAGAGAGAAAGAATCCTTGTCTCGCATAACAACGTGCAATATGTCCTCAATATTACGTTTCTTTCTTTCTTAATTGTTTAAAGAGTTCGATTTATAATGTTCCTTTTGTCAGTTTCCTCGACATATGTTCATAGAAGTGTATTTGTAGAGCTGTCTAATCCCCAATAAAAACATCCCAAGCTTTCGACAGATGGTGCATGCAATATTGAGATTGTCAAATTTTCTTTAGAAGAGAATTTTCCAGAATATTTCACTTTCATTCAACCTGGGAAAGTTTTTATATCCAGGCAGGCTTGAGCAACATGCACTACTTTTTTGTTATTGAAAAAGAATACTCTAAAACGATATGGGTATATTATAAAGAATATATTACAGGAGTAATGGTGGTAGACCATGATTTATCCTTCGAATGAAATTGTCAAGTTGTAACCACGAATTTCAACGAGTGATTTGAACTGGCAATTGTCCAAGTAAGGTATTGACGTTGAATGTGAAAAGCGTGGAGCATGGCGACTCCTCAGTATCTGGAGCGGTGAGTTAAACCTACCATCTTTCTTGGGTGATAATGATCAAATGTTATTCCAGTTTTTGATAAACACACAAAGACCGATTCTTCATTTAAAACTAAGAATAGAAAAAATCTGCAATGCGGACGATAAAAAATGCAAAATTGTTCTATTTTTAATGTTGGTGCACTGAACATTCAATATCCCACCCAGCCAGGCCATCAAATTTGCTAGAGACAGGAAACTCTTTCTCCCCTCGACGCCCTAGAGGTACAAGACGACGGAGAACGTCAAGTAAAGTAAGGTGCAGTGAACATTAATTTAAGTACCAAAATGTTATTGTTATAACATGTCCTATTTTTAACACTACTTAGTATTCATTACTTACGTGAACGGGCGCGCGCGAAGACTCAAAGTACTAGATATTATAATATACAATCTCAAAGGTTTTTGATCTCCAGTATATTAGTAGCCATCTCTTCTAACCTAATTTCATGTTGGTAGCTCGTTTTAAAGAAAATGGATCTGAAAAGAACTTAAGTTTAAACAGGAAGAAGTAAAGCATTGTGCAGAGACAGCCACCCCCTCCCCCCTACCCCAACATACACATACACACATACACATACACACACACACACACACACGCACAGAGTGAGAGAGAGAGAGAGAGAGAGAGAGAGAGAGAGAGAGAGAGT